ATTATTACCTAAATTATATTAAAAATAGTGATTTGTTGTTTAATTTTCTACCTTACAAGGAAAAAAAAAATTACTTTTAAAGATACAATTTTTTTGAAGGTAGAAGATTTTACCTTACTATGTGCATATCACATATTCTACGCTACAGTAGAACTTCTACCTTTTTTACAAGTGCTATACTAACAATAAATGTTGTGCAAAAATATTTTTCTATTTTTATTAATAAGTAAAAAACTTAATCAGTAAAAAAAAATAGGATTTTAATAAATACTTTAAAAATAGCTAGTATATCAAAGCTTCTTAAACTAAAATTCAAAAGCTCGTATATAAAATTTTATTTTTATTATGCTGTATTGCAATTTGTATAATAGCAAATAAAAAATATATACTTGATGCAATAAAGATGATGCCAAAGTCTGCTACCAAATATTGCATCACTATCATACTTAAATCAAATTTAATTCAATTATAAAAAAAGTACAGTGTACTATAAGAAAATTGCAGAATTATTTTAAATCTTGATTTTAAGCTATAATTTAATATCTATTTTGTTGAATGCAGAAAAATAATATCTCAAAATCTAAGGTTATCTTTAACTAAAATAAGATATTTGTGTTAATTTTTTAGTTTCAAATTCAGCTGCAGTGTATGATGATATACTTGACTAATCTAGACGATATACTTGACTTTTACAACTGGTGCCACTGTATGACTAATGTTTCTTTTGCTTTAGAAAGCAATCAAAATTTCTTAAAAGTTGTTGCTTGTAACTTGCGATGTTTATGCAAATCGCAAGTTGTTGAAAAAGCATTTTAAATGATTCGTTTATGCCTAATCCACCACATTAAAATATAACAACTCGTTACTGTCTTATTTAAATATGACTTATCCAACTTAAAACATATGGAAAAAAAGATAAATGTAAGGATGGTAAGATTATACAGTGGAACCACATTGCTTATATATTCTATGAAGACCTTTTTATTTTACCTAAACTTACTTTTGAGCATATAAAGTTGGCAAAATATTTATTAAAAAGTGTTAACCTTGCTGCCTAAGTAATAAGTTTTTGCTGTATTAAAAACTTTATTACATTATGAAATAGCTTATTTGAAAATTCTTTCCAACACTAACGATCACTTAATGCTTGCAAGGGTAACCCATCATTTAACGACTTTCAATAATAACAAAATAAAAAATACTTTTAGTAGCTGAAAATGTATTTAGCTACACAGGTATTATAAAGTGGTAGTAATATAGTATTAAGTCATGCCAAAAAAAAAAAAAGATGTTATTAGATTAGTTTAAAAATAAATATTTTTTATATATGTAAAATAGCCATGTTGTCATTATTATTTTAAATTAAAAGACAATTGTATTATTTTTATTATTCAATCTTTTATTGTTGTTTTATTATAAAGTTATTACACCATAAAACTATTAAATATACATGAAGCATTTATTAAACTTACTCTAGGAGCTAATTATATACCAATAATATTTTTAAAAAATATGTGGCTATGAAAATAGCCGTTTTAGTAGGTTCAAGTCATATCACTTTTTCTTTAATGTTCTTGTTCCAGAATAGAAAGTGTTTTTTAATTGATGTTCTTTATATATCAATTTAGTTTGACTCTTTCAGGTTATATTTTGCAATGTACAATCTACGAACTTGTATGTAAAATGTTAGATGATTATGCATACTTAGCTGCAAGCAAATACGATAAACACTGCTCATTATACAACTTAGACATGTTAGAAAACCAATTGTAAAATTAGAGGTACCAAAAACATTTCCACTAAGTCATAATAGAATGTTTTGTTTAGTGATGTAGAGGGATACATGCTTAAATGTTATAATATTATTGATAAAAGAGGCACCAGTTAGATAAACAAAGACAAGATTTGCTACTTCAAAACATGAAAGAAATTGTTTTTTCAGAAAAAGTTTTGTAGAATCAATTCTACAAAATATTTTATGAAAAAAAAAAATTATTTCATGTTTTGAAAGCATTCATGTTTTGAATGCTACTTCATGTTCTTTCATGTTTTGAAGTTGTCATCATTTTTACTAGGAACTAAGCTGTAATGAACTCTTGAAATAATTGAAATATTTATACTTGATTTTAAACTTTTAATGCCAGCTTGTAGCAAAGTACTATTTATCTGAAGCAATCTTGATTAAATAATTGTAAAATCTAATAGGTTGAAGAATAATCTTTGCTTTTTTTTATTCTTTACTAAATGTTTATCAGTTTCTTGCAAAACAAACACATAAATATTCTTTCTTCGCTTTGGTTAGGATAAATTAAAATAGGTAGTCTAATGTTAGAACTAAAATTGAGATCTGCCTCCAACAAATAGCAACTCAATAACAGCTAAAACAGCATCGAATTCATTCAAATTTTCAAAGTCTGCGCTACAAAAAGTCATTTTAAAACATTTGATGCACTCTCAGTCCGGTCACCCCTTAAAACTCAAGTTATTTTACGAAATCGATAGAAAACGGCCCGCGTTTCCAGACTAGTTAAATATTATGACTATGGTTAAACCATAGTCATTATTGGTATATAATTAATATTATTGGTATATAATTAGCTCCTAGAGTAAGTTTAATAAATGCTTCATGTATATTTAATAGTTTTATGGTGTAATAACTTTATAATAAAACAACAATAAAAGATTGAATAATAAAAATAATACAATTGTCTTTTAATTTAAAATAATAATGACAACATGGCTATTTTACATATATAAAAAATATTTATTTTTAAACTAATCTAATAACATCTTTTTTTTTTTTTGGCATGACTTAATACTATATTACTACCACTTTATAATACCTGTGTAGCTAAATACATTTTCAGCTACTAAAAGTATTTTTTATTTTGTTATTATTGAAAGTCGTTAAATGATGGGTTACCCTTGCAAGCATTAAGTGATCGTTAGTGTTGGAAAGAATTTTCAAATAAGCTATTTCATAATGTAATAAAGTTTTTAATACAGCAAAAACTTATTACTTAGGCAGCAAGGTTAACACTTTTTAATAAATATTTTGCCAACTTTATATGCTCAAAAGTAAGTTTAGGTAAAATAAAAAGGTCTTCATAGAATATATAAGCAATGTGGTTCCACTGTATAATCTTACCATCCTTACATTTATCTTTTTTTCCATATGTTTTAAGTTGGATAAGTCATATTTAAATAAGACAGTAACGAGTTGTTATATTTTAATGTGGTGGATTAGGCATAAACGAATCATTTAAAATGCTTTTTCAACAACTTGCGATTTGCATAAACATCGCAAGTTACAAGCAACAACTTTTAAGAAATTTTGATTGCTTTCTAAAGCAAAAGAAACATTAGTCATACAGTGGCACCAGTTGTAAAAGTCAAGTATATCGTCTAGATTAGTCAAGTATATCATCATACACTGCAGCTGAATTTGAAACTAAAAAATTAACACAAATATCTTATTTTAGTTAAAGATAACCTTAGATTTTGAGATATTATTTTTCTGCATTCAACAAAATAGATATTAAATTATAGCTTAAAATCAAGATTTAAAATAATTCTGCAATTTTCTTATAGTACACTGTACTTTTTTTATAATTGAATTAAATTTGATTTAAGTATGATAGTGATGCAATATTTGGTAGCAGACTTTGGCATCATCTTTATTGCATCAAGTATATATTTTTTATTTGCTATTATACAAATTGCAATACAGCATAATAAAAATAAAATTTTATATACGAGCTTTTGAATTTTAGTTTAAGAAGCTTTGATATACTAGCTATTTTTAAAGTATTTATTAAAATCCTATTTTTTTTTACTGATTAAGTTTTTTACTTATTAATAAAAATAGAAAAATATTTTTGCACAACATTTATTGTTAGTATAGCACTTGTAAAAAAGGTAGAAGTTCTACTGTAGCGTAGAATATGTGATATGCACATAGTAAGGTAAAATCTTCTACCTTCAAAAAAATTGTATCTTTAAAAGTAATTTTTTTTTTCCTTGTAAGGTAGAAAATTAAACAACAAATCACTATTTTTAATATAATTTAGGTAATAATTAAGATATAATTTTCTCTCTAAGGTAGATAAATATGCTATATTAAGGGTATAACACATATCTTTAAAGATACAAACATCTAATTTAGCTTTGAAACTATTCAAAATGAAAAAATTGTACCTTATTTTTTCTTGTTTCCAGAAAAGATACCAGCAAAGTGTAAAGAATGATATATAAATTATCAACTAATCTAGCTAAGTAAACTATATATAGAATATAGATTATTAAGCTATATTAGCTAACACTTTAAATAAATATACTCTGAATATAATACAAAGTATTTATACCCATATACATCCATCAAGTTATACAGTTGATAAAATATTTGCATCTATAACATATTTTCATATAGTGCATATAACTTAAATGCTTATATGATATAAGCTATATGGTTGAATAAGCATATTTATACCAATACAAACTCTGTCACTACATTTACCAACTACATTTACCAACAGTTGATGTCTTTATTTTATGCTATATTCATCATTTTTATTCGGAATACGAAATATAAATGCAATCCAAAATATTAACTTGAAACTGAATAACCAAAAAAATCACAATTTGTTCATGCCATTTCAATATTTATCCCAGAATATATGTAACTTATCTATAGCGAAATACAATGTTTACAATTTGATGCACTCTAAAGTAGGCTGAGCACTAGTATCGAGAGGAACTTAAGTGTTTTAAGAAAACGGCTCGCGTTTCCAGACTAGTTAAATACTATGACTATGGTTTAACGCAACTACGGATTTATAAATTCTGGGGCTTTCCAATATGGCGTCTTTTGGCTTCAAAAATTTCGAAATTTTATTAGGAGATGCGCTATCCAGTTATTATAGAGATCAGTGGCCAGAACCTGGAAGAAAAAAAAAAAAAAGTAAAATTTTTGGGGGCTTCTAAATTTGCGGGGCCTGGGGCTATAGCCCCTTCCCCCTTGATCCGGCACTGTTGGTGGCTAAATGTAATGCAGTTGTTAATTTCCGCAATGTTAATTATCGGAAGACCCAGCAAGTATATACGGAAACGCCGGGAATTAATATAGAGTAAATTACTGTGAAAACTTTCAATGGCTGCTACAAAGCGTGCTCTAGTTTATGGAGGAAAAGGCGCCCTTGGATCTGCATGTGTATCTGCCTTAAGAGAAAAGAACTATGTATGGTTTTTATTTTTGAAGTAATATTTATATTTTCATTGTTTCTCTTCAAGATATTCAATCATTTATAATAAACTTTAGTAAGTTTCAAATGTATAAGCTAACAATAAACTTCTGTTATCAATGAAAAAGTAGTTTGTATGGGAAGTTTATTAAACTAGCTTACAGTCTTTGAACTCATTTTTCTTTAGCATGGTGTTTTCCTAAAGAAATTTAATCTACGCTGGAATGCTTTTTTTTAAGTTATTCTAATATTTTTTAATATTAGAAAGATGGTTATTCGTTTGTTCTACTACTTTATTTCCGTGTTAATAAATCTATTAATTTTTTGTATTAGTAGTTAGCAACTTTTAAATTCATAAATACTTAATTTTTTACATCTAACATTACACCCTGTCAAATTCACAATCAACATCATTTGAAAAGACCTCTTGATCCCCATCAAGGAAAATATTATTTTATTTAAAAAAAATTTACTATATAATATAGTTTTTCAACCAATGATCTTTTATATATTTAAAATTTCATCAGCAAAATTTTTGGTGTTTAGAAATGGTGATTATGTAAAATTTACAATCCCCCTCGATTTTGGGGAATTCAATTCATTACATGGTCATGACTCTAAAACATAACAAAAAATTAGATTTTTTTAAAAAAATTACATTTTTTTTAATGAATATTGATTTACTTTAGTATAGCGTAATGTATTTTTCAAAAAAAATAATTTTTGTAGATGGGGTTCAAGTGGGCAAGCTGAATGTGTATTTCAGCTGGCCATTCTTTGGCTCCAGGGCACAAGTCTAAAAGGTTTTTGAAAAAATGATTAACAATTCTAAGAAAAAGATGAGGTTTCATTGGCTGAATAACTTCTAAAATAAGAACTGAATTGTCAATATTGATCAATGGTAAACGCAATTACATTTGCAAATTTTTGCAGAGTTTAAATCTAAGCATTAGCAACAAACCCATATATTTTCTTCAATGTGCCAAAAAACACTAAGATAGGTTGTCAGAATCAACATCGCACCAGCAGCAAGAATGCTTGCTTAAATGGGATTAAATTCCACAAATAATAATGGTTATTTTTAGACCACATGAAATGTAAAATGCCGCGTCATTCACTTGAATAATATTCATGAACACTTTGAGATTCTTGTATGTTTCAGATAGATTTTCAATAATGGCAGCAATGAGCTGACATTTAACACCTGTGTCTTTAGGTATTGAATCTGTTTGCATGTAACATTTATTCAATAATAACAGCTCATTTTCAAAAATGAGCTGTTATTATTGAATAAATTTAATAACAGCTCATTTAATAACAGCTCATATTAAACTTTAATAACAGCTCATTTTCAAAAATGATTTTCAACTAGTCGAGATCCGATTGTTTTTTTGTTTTTTGTTTTTTTTTAAGAGGTATAGGAAGTTTTCTCATTCCTGTGTTCAGTGTTTAACTACACCTTTAACAACATTCCTGTGTTCAGTGTTTAACTACACCTTTAACAACATTCCTGTGTTCAGTGTTTAACTACACATTTAACAACATTTGTGCTGTAAGTATATGACTTTTTGATTTTGGTGGAGATTGTGGGACTAATAAAATATAAGATATAGTGTAAGCTGCTGATTGAAGTAACTTTCAAATCCCCATTTAATAATGTGTAATAAAATAATTTCACTGCTTAATTTTGTTGATTTTTAAATATTTTAAAATTATAAAAAGTGTATAATTTTCTGGTATTACTGGAAACAATCTTTCTTTTTTTGCTTGGCTAAGCAAGACTTTTTTTTCTAGGAGAAAAATCTTTTACCTTTATCTCAGCAGATGCAATTTGCTCTGCTGTAACTTGATCTTTCCTGACCAAATCATGCAAATTTTGGCGTCTTATTGAAATCATACAGTAATGTTTGGAACCTCTAGCTATAATTGATAAACAATGCGAGCTTCTTTTTTTTGTTGATGAATTTTAAAAAGATTCAGGCTTGGAAAATATGTTATCATTAGAATTTATATTGTTTGCTTTTTGTCTTAAATGATGCTTTTCATTAAGTTTAAACTTTCCAAATTAGCAAATAAAACAATCACATGGATTAGATAGTTAGATTGATTTTCTCTAAGATAGTTATCAAAGGCTTGATAACTATCTTAGAGGTCGTTAATATCTCAAGAGAGTCATGATAATCAAAAAATTTCTTTGATTATCACAACTCTTTAGTTTATTGCAGCAAATTAATTCTCATGAACATATGTTCATGAGGATTAATTTGCAACCACAGTTTCTTGAATTTTTAATAAGCTATGCAACCAGTTGTTTCTAACTAGGCTCCTTATGATTTTCTAGAAATCCACAAACTACATATTGCTCTTATGAGCTTCTCTGAATTCAGTATTGCTTTTATTTGAAGTTTAACGAATAGACTGTCTTTGATCTTTTCTTCAAATAGCTTTGGTTGAAATTTTTGGTTCAAATAGTTTTGATGATATTACCACAAACATCCTACTTAAATTTAGAATAATTAGTTTTGTCAAAAAGTTTTTTGACATTAACATAGTCTTCAATTTTCTGTACACAGTGTACAAAACTCTTTTGGAGAATATGATGAGAAATGTACTAATAATTGTGATATTATAAGTACATTTCTCATATTGTGCTGGCAGGCTTTTATTATGTGGGGACTGCTTTGGAAAGTATCTTTAGATATTGAAGACCTTTTCTCTCTTAGCTTTTTAATACATTATAATATCAATCATACAAAAGTAATTTTAGAAGATGACACAAGAGGCTTTCTCCATACTCTGATCATACTCTTTATACTCTGGGAATAGCAAAAAAGTTTCTTATACCTTAAAACCATCTTTTAAACCTTTCTTATACCTTAAAACCATCTTGCTAAAGTAGTTTAACAGACCACATTTTACATAAGAGCCATGGTTTGGTTTCCTTATATAAGCCTAGGCTGTGAAAGAAGTAACCAACCTCCCAAAAAATTTATGAGGCATCAGTGATGTATGGGCTGTCAGTTGCCTGTTGGTACTAAAAACATAACTTTATATCAGTGGATGATACAGAAAATTATTTTACATTTTTTTTTTGGAATTAGCAGAAAAAATTAATAAGCAAAAAATTTACTGAGATGTAAATGAAAATTAAATTTTTTATCTCTCAGTAAATTTTTTCAATGTTAAGATCATTTGCTAAAAAATTCAGCATATGAGGAGCACACCCATAAGTTATGACAATAACTCTTTCAGATAACAATACTTGTTTCATTGCTTTCACATTAGCTGCATTATCAGTCACAAAGCTTTTTACTGTGCATCCAAATTTACGTCTTACAAAATCTATTGCTTCTCTTGCTAATTGTGTAAGATATTCACCAGGATGTGAATGACCAGAAGTGTTAATTCACTTCTGATTGATCCACTTCCTGCTGAAACTCGCTGGAATTCTGTATGTGACATGTCACATACAGATATGATATGTCATGATATGTCAACAAATGAACCATTATTTTTACAATGTTTGAAAAAAATAAAGACTTGGATCCCGTAATTGGTAAAAAAGTAAGTGATATACAGATAAAGCGAAACACAGAAGATTTATAAAAAATATTGAAACCCATTGCAGTAGCTCTAGATAAGTTGCAAAGAGATTAAACAAAAATAAGTGACTCTTGAAATTTTTAAAGATTTGATGAACAGTTTATCATTTTTATCAAACAAAAAAACAAAAAAATTGAATCTAGATACCTTCAGACTGTCAGTGATGCTCATTTCCTGGCAAACACACTAGATCCTAGATATTTTGGATCTAATATTTCTGAAAAATGAAAATGAAGCTGCCATGAATTTCACAGATAAAGAGTTCAAGAATTTGTTACCAATACTATTCAAATTAAAAGCCAAATCTACTATAACATAATGGATATTGAAGGTTTATTAAATGCACCAGCTTCTAGTGCTGGAATCAAAAGAATTTTTTCAACTTTTGGTTTTGTTCATTCTAAGTTAAGAAACCGATTGGGGGTAGAAAAAGCAGCAAAGCTTGTATTTATATATAGAACATTAAACAATGATATATTAAATAATTTTGATGAAATATAACAATAATATTGATAACATAAATGAGTTTTTTCCAGGAATTCCGAAAATTCACTTGAAACTCCTTTAATTTTCAAGAAGTTTCAGGATGTTTTTGTTATTAATTTAAAAAAAAATTATATAAAATTTTAAATACTACAAAAAAAAAAAAAAAAAAAATACTAAATAAATACTACAAAAAAAAAAAATACTACAAAATACTACAAAAAATACTAATTAAATACTACAAAAAAAAAAAAAAAAAAAAAAAAAAAAACAGAAAAAAAATTGTTACGAAAATTCATATCGTGCAATTTTCAATTTTAGAAAACATATTTGTTTAGATGCAAACGTTGTAACATTTGCATCTAAACAAATATGTTTTCTAAAATTGAAAATTGCACGATATGAATTTTCGTAACAATTTTTTTTCTGTTTTTTTTTTTAGTTTATTCAAATTAACTTTTTCGAATATTAAAAATTCCTTATTGTAGAAAGTAAGATAATCTAAATTCCGTTTTAAAAGTTTACAAAGGTTTTTGCTGTCATTAATACGATCAAGAATTTTTTAATTATTTTTATGATTTTTTTACTAAAATAATTTTCCAGGATTTTCATAAAAAAAATTTCCAGGATTTTTAATAAGTCAAAAACTCATCTATGTGATAAATAATATAGTTTACTCAAATGAAATACGTTATGCTTTTTTTAATTTAAAAAGATAACTAAATACTGCATTTTTTAGTAAAAACCTAATTTAAACCAAAAAAACCATGGTTTTTTTGTTTTGTTTTAAAAAACCAATGGTTTTTGGTTTTTTTCAAAAAAAACAGGTTTTTTTTGCAACCCTGTATATATATATATATATATATATATATATATATATATATATATATATATATATATATATGTATATGTATATGTATATGTATATATGTATATATATATATATATATATATATATATATATATATATATATATATATATATATATATATATATATATATATATATAGTTAAATTTAATTTTAAATTATTAACAAGGGATAAATTAAGCAATCCTATGCAATTAACCATTTAGTAATTTTGAAAGTATATTATTAGAAGCAATTGTGGTTGCTAATTTTTATATTATTGGGTAAAAGTTCTTATGGAAAAAAATTTCATCATGTTTTAATACGATGTTTATACAAAATAACTTGGTCAGAAAAGTAATATTTTCGGTTATATGTTCATTAGGTCTGGCTTAGTTAATTTGATGTGTGTACTTTCATGGACCACGAATATCATTAAGTCAACTTGTCTTTTAAGTATGTTAATTGGTATACGCATTTGTTGATTAAAGTAGTAATGAGGTTTTTTTTTACCTTTATGCTAATTTTTTTTTACGTTTTAACAATAAGTATTTTTATTCTGCATTTGTATTACCTGGATTAACATCCATATTATTATATTGTCTTATGAAAAAACTTTGCTAGTTTGTTGTTGCAGTGTATATGTTTTTCCTGCAAAAGTATTTGCAATATGGTAAATTTGAGTTGATTTATCCCTTGATTATTATATACTATATCATAAATATCATTATCATGGTAATCTTTTAAATTTTTAGTGGGTGATTAGTGTTGATTTACTTGAAAATGATGCAGCTGATAAAAATGTTCTGGTCACTGAAGTAACTGACTGGGAGCGCCAAGAGTTAGAAGTAAAAACAAAAGTTGGAGAGCTTCTTGCTGATCAAAAACTTGACGGAGTATTTTGTGTGGCAGGAGGATGGGCTGGTGGAAATGCTTCATCAAAAGGTTGATTATTTAAGAATTGAGTTAATTAATCACTAAATTCAAAATTGTTTAAATTAAATTTAACTCGTAAAAAAAAACATGAGACAACTTGTTAAAAAATAAAACTTTAGGACAAATTCTACTACTCAATGCAACTAAGGTCTGGTACATGTTTTTCCGAACAAAAATATAAGTTTTTCAGTTACAATATATGTAAATTTTTTCATCAAAAAGTATGACATATTTGGTATGTGTGGAAAGATTATTTTAACCACTATTATAATCTGATAAAAGTAATGCAACTATAAAAAATCGTCAAGCGTTTTATTTAGAAAAGATGCAGTTTTCAACATAAAGTAACTTGGGGCTTGGCTATATATAAGTCCATAAATTTGATTTTTTCATAAAAGCACATATTGGTGCTTGTTTTCAATAAATGTAACTTGACATTTCTAATCAGACATTATTTGGGAAAATTATCCATAAAAAACCATTTTTTTTTAAATTGAAGTTACTATTTTTAATACCACTAAATGAGTATGTTAAACAATGTCACGTTTGACTTAGATAACTTATGGTTGTGTTAATTTTTCTACCAAAGTTGTTTTTGTATAAATAATCATAACTTTTAGCCCCATTTAAAAAACTGTATTCGGTATTTAGTATCATTTTTTGAAATACTTGGGACTAATTCTTGAAATAATAGATTATCCCATTCAGAAAACGTAAACAATAAAAAAAAAAAACAGATGAGGTAAACTTTTTAAATAAATTACTTTCAATTCGAATTCTTTGTTTGCATTAATTAAATGCCAATAAGTAAAAAGTTTTTTGGTTTGCCACTAACAACTAATCAAATTTGTTTAAAATTATCGGCTTTTTTTTTTTATGAGTTTGTTTGTTCTATGCCTTAGTTGCATTGAGTAATATATCAAAGTTTAAAATTTTTCAAAACAGCTTCTTTGTTTTGTTTTCAAGAATTAAACATTGAATATAGAAAAAACTTATTGTAAAAATATAAATAAAGTTGTTAAAATTTAGTTATCAAAGATTGTTTTTTAAATAAATTTGTTTAAATCTCTTCCTTAGGCAAGTTTTTTTTTTTTTTTATAATTTTTTTTTTATTATTTAAAATCTTAGCCCTAAACAACAAAACTCTCTATCCTTGTCAAGGGTAGGTGTTTCGGAGTTGTCTTTTTAGGTGTGTCTTTTTTACCACTAGTCTACTGGTAATTTAAGAAAAATAAAAGCTGAAAAAAAAAAGTTTCAGTCTTACAACATTTTGCGTTTAAAGTTGAAGATGCAATATTACGTACATAAGATTTGAATCTAAAGTTTTTATATTATAAAGTTGATGATGAAATATTACTACATAAGGTTTGAATCTAAAGTTTTTATATTATAAAGGAATTTATATAAGTTATAGTTTGTAACTCCCTAAAGTTCCATTCTATAATATAGCTTTTTATAAATCATGTGCTCAATAAATTACTTAGTGGTGACAAATACAATATTTAGGATTTTTTAAATTTTACCTTGTATAATTTTAAGTTTTTTTTTTTTAATAAAAGTTTAAAATGTTCAAGTTTAATGGTGATTGAATTGATTATTTTTTTTAATTTTCATAAGATTTTATAAAAAATGCTGACATGATGTGGAAACAGAGTGTTTGGTCATCAACTATATCTGCTAGCATAGCTTCTTTACATTTAAAAGAGTAAGTATTTCTTAATATTTTTTTTTAAATGCCTTATTTCTATCTTTTCCAAAGTTTCCTTAAAAACCATTATGCAATAAAATAATGTAAAAATAATTTTTTAAGAACTTATTATTGCTGAGTCAAATCATTATATTTCACCCAATAGCCTTTGGGTCACCATCTCTGATTTTCCTAATTTTTACATATTGTTATATGTATTATGTAGATAGGTTAAATTTGAAATTTTAGACTTCCAAGTTGTTATTGATTTTGACTAAATTGATTAAAAGTCAACTAGTTGAAAGTCGACTAAGAAAGTCTAAATTAGTTGACTAGGAAAAAATGAGTTGTCAACTAATTCGACTATGGACTTCCTACTATTCATTTAAAAGTCGATTTAGTCAAGTGAAAATCTTAAAATCCTTTTTTCCCAATCTTTTATTTTGTTTGTCGTTTAAAAACAAAAGCATGTACTATTATAATTATAGATGTCACAAATAGTGGTTTTGCTGAATATCAATTATTTTGCCAGACGCTAGGTGGCTGAATATATATTTGGCTGCCACTTTGTTATTTTGAGAGTTCTGACCTGGTTCTGTGAAGTGCATGTCGTGGATATACTGGCAAAAGATGTTAAGTCAAAAAATTGACAGTTTTGACTTTTGATGCAGTATTGTAAAGTTTACAACGCTTTACAATCTGGCAAAGTACATTAAGTTGAATAAAACATCTTCTTTCTGGTTATAAAAGTACATTTATTGTTAACTCAAAAAACTGATATTTTATTTAGGCTAAAATTAAAAAAAATAAAAGCTATAAATATTTTCTTACATAATTACTTGATATTATGGTGTATTTAAATGTCAACACCAAATGCAATTAATAAGATTATAAAAGTTTTAAATAGGAAGAAAACTTGAATGAATGATTTCTCTAAACAGAGATTTTTGAGTTAGAGATTTTTTACAGAATATCTACATTATGTTAACTATGCTGTGGCCAATATTGTTTTATTCATGACTTAGGAGTGTAACAGCACACATTTGTTGACTGTTACATCATTTTGAACTATAGTTATGTATAAAGGCATCATACTCTTCAAACCTCTTAAAAGATTAAAAAAAAAGCCAGATCAGGTCTTTGCATTTCAGAGGTAATTTCAGAAGTTGATATACAATAGTGTGCAAAAAATTAAGGCCACGTGAAATTTCACAACTTTTCTTCAACGCAACAGAGAATAATTATACTGTTTAACGTAAATGTTTGGCAACTTTATTAATTGATATAGCACAATGTGTAACGTACCAGTCCTTGTTATTTATCAGTCTATGCACTAATATTTGGTTGGAAAACCACGGTTTTTCAACACTGCATCAATATGTGCAGGCATGCTATGAACCAGAGTTTTACAATAATCCGGTGTAATTTCCTTCACCCAAACGTCCTTCGCAATACATTTTAGGTCCTCTACTGACTTGGGTTGGTGTGCAGCAACTTTCTTTTTCATTAAATTCCAGCAATTTTCTATTATGTTTAAGTCCGGTGAACTTGATGGCCAGTTGTTCAAGGTCATAACTCCGTTTGTCGTAAACCAGTCCAATATTGTAGCAGCTGTCCAGCTTGATGCCTTACATAATTGTAACCTAATCCCCTGACCTGCTGGAATTTGCTTTCGTCGCTAAACATTACTGTGTCTCACCGTTCCGCAGGTTTACCTTTAAAGGCCTTATAGAACTAAATCCTTTTTGCCAAATGTACCTTAGTCAATAATGGTTTTTTTGCTGGTCGTCTTCCAAATAGTTTGAAATCTGTAGTTAGGCGTCGTCTGACTATGCAAGACTTAATAACTGTCTCTTTATCATGAAGTGCTTGAGCTATGCTAGCAGAGGATGCAGTCGGACTGGTTGTTTTGCAGGGACAGCCGCAATTTAAATGTCTACCTGTCTCCTCCTTTAATGCATTTTGAACAGCACATCTTGAAATCTTTCACTGTCTTGCTATAGCACTCTGACTTTGTCCTACTACATGCAGTGCATTAATTTGTCCTTTGATAAAACTTGAAATATCCAATTTTCTTCCCATGTTAAAAATGCATCAAGTTATACTTCAAATGCCTAAAAAAATGAAACAATATTGTTATGAAATGGAAAACGCTTAATGTGCTTTGTGTTACAACACATTTTGATGACGTACACATATTGATGACATACACATATTGATGACGTACACATTTTGATGACGTACATTTTGTGATACAACACATTTTGATGACATCATCCAAAGACAATGAAAAAGTGATAACTTGTTGTTTTTTAAAGGTGGCCTTAATTTTTTGCACACTACTGTAGATGGATCTTCACTACAACCTAAACTTAAAACATTGTTTAATATTAATAAGAATTTGAACATTGTTTTTATCGGCTGCGATAAAAATGATGCAATAAATTCTTCTTAGTGAAAGGCTGCTTGACTAGTAGCACTGATAAAGACTTTGTAATCTATTTTGTAAGAAAAAGAAATGTAAATTAAAAGGATCGAACTAATCTCTACGAAAAAAATGCACACATTAAGATGTGAGAAAGAATAATTCCAATTGCAAATGATATTAGTTTTTCCATAAAACCATTCGCTTAAATTGGACAGCAAACCTTTACATGTTTTGGTCAACAAACACAAAACATTCTAACAGAACTTATTAAAATTTTCTTATCATTTACTGGTGGCAGTGTAAATAGCAAATGGCTATTTTAGGAAGTATGACATCTCTAATTATATCTATTACCTATTTTTTATTTACTTTCTTTTTTTATCTAATTCATAGCATATTTATGCTCTTCCCGGGGCTCTTTAATAACACTGTAATGACTTTAGGGAGGACCTTAATAACTACAAAAAATAAATTATACCTATTTAAACTATTGTTTATTTATTTTATTTTATTTTTTTTTCTTTTATTTTAGTTTATTCTTTTATTTACTCGATGCTTTTGATTTTCATAAATACTTTCATACAGGACAGCTTCAAGCTGGCGTTGGGGCTCTGGGGCAAAATTAAGTTCTAAAAGTTCTAAAATTAAGTTCTAAAATCTAATTGTCATCTATACGATCACATTGTAAATATGATTGTAAAGACTTTGATATATAGCAAGTATTTTAGGCAGCCCTTAAACCATTGGGGTCTGCCAATAAATTGTTCAATTGTCAGAGCGCCCGTTCTCATATTTTTTTGCTCCATTAATATTTTTATCACAATTTATTTCAAAAAAATAAATTATTCACATATTTTGGGTAAATTGACTTTTAGTCGATTTTAAAAATGTATAAATTTGTTTTATTAAATTTTAGATTTCGATTTAGTCGACAGTGGAATTTATTTAAAAGTCCTAACAACACTACCTCTGAGTACAACGGTTCAGAAATCATAGGCTTAGAAACATGACACAGTGGCCCCCCTCAATTTACAAATGGACAAAACAGACTACTTTAGAGCTGTATAACTTTTTTTTTTCACTTATAAAAATAAGACACTTTCAAAAAGTGTCTTATTTTTTCTAGAATTATTTTCTAGATAGTTATATCTTTAAAAATGTGGTTTTTATTAACTTGTATTAAATTAGAGAAAAATTATGACCTCAACTTTGGAAAAAATTACTAAAATATGTCAAAATGAAACTAACTGTACCATTTTTCTATTTATCCACAAGTCTTTACAGATAAGTTTTCCAATTAGCTACTACTTTCTGCAATAAATGGGAAAAACATAGGCAGTTTGTTACAGTTTAGAACTCAAATATATCTAAAAGCAAATTTTTCTAACACTTTGTTTTGATCTAAGATTAACAGAATATCAGACCATTAGACCCAGCTATCTGAAAATGCAAACATTTTAAACTTGTCGAATTCACACCAAAAATGTCAGCATTTTTACATAACCATATTTTTCAATTATCAGCAGTTAAATGTGTTACTAGAAACCAGTGCCCCTCTAATCTGCCTACTGGCCTATGTAAAGAGTGCAATTAATTATAAGTCATTTCTTAATGAAAAGAAAGATATAGTTGGTTGTCCTTTCCTTGATCTAGTCTTTATAGCAGATAGGGGCACAAGTAAAGGGGGGAAGTAGGTTTTTAGAGACCTTCATTATGGTTCAAATGAAGGTCTCTAAATTAATTTAGATATTTAGATATTAAATATCTAAATTAATTTTAAATTGAAAGTGTTATTTCTTTAAAAGCTATTTTATTATAGGTGATCAGTGGTCTGTATGTGATCTGGTCAGTAATCAACCCACCCCCTCCTTAATGGGATAAAGGAAGTGGGGTGGTGGCACCAATCTAAAGTTAAGGGGGAGGGGGCAACCAACTTACAAAGATACATGCTTTCATTTTCTAACATGAAACATGCATGATTTTTTTTCTGAATACACAGTTAAGGTTATCAGATCTTTATTGCATTTTTTCATGCTTTTACCAATAGATTCGAATTTTGATAGTTACTTGCATTGACTATGTGTGCCAGATTCAGCAAATATACAATGTTATGGTCTTAAAAGGGCATTAATATAAGTTAATTAAAATTTGGATTTCTAAAGAGGATATTAAGCTAATTTTTTATTTATTTGTGAGAAAATTTTTTGTTATATATATCTTGCATCTCAGATGATGTACTAAAACATATAAACACATTATTAAACATAATTTAAAAAATTATAAATAAAAAACTGCAATATTAAAATTGGCACAACAAAAATAAACATTTAAACTACCCCTTAAAATAACTCATACTTGCTTCTTTTTTTTTACAAGTGACATCTTTTTTGCATCGATTTATCAAGGATGTTGCAAATCTTGGTTAGAACTCAATTTCCAGTGGTCCTTATCCCGTTCAAATTGCCAAATCTTGTTAAAATTGCTACCATTCATATTCATTAACTAACAAAACCATGCTGTTTTCTAGTAATGAAACCATACTGTTCTCTAGTAAGGAAACCATGCTTTTCTCTAGTAACGGAACCATGCTGTTCTCTAATAACAAAACCATGCTGTTCTCTAATGTCTATATATAGATGTGTTGGCTTATTTGGCTTGATTGTTTGTTTTGCACTATCATAATATTATGAGGCAATTCCTGGCATGACATGGATTTTCAAACAGTTGTGTAAAAACTAATCCTTTTCCTAAGTAAAATGTTTAAAATTGTATTTGAGAGATTGTATTTTATTACAGTTTTTGTTGAATTTGTTGATTAATTAATAATAACTTAACCTTGGGTTGGTTATTATTTGATAAAATATAGTATTATTGTTACACTTCTTGGTTTTTTAATCTTCTGGATCCTGCATGACATTAAATACTTTTTTTAAAATGTTTTCAGAGTATTTCTGACACATTTATCTGAATTTTTGCAATTTTTGTTACTGATAATGGAGCCAATCTTCATAACTATTATTTGCCACTTTTGCTTACTGTGTGTTTTTTTGCTTACTGTGTGTTTTTTTGCTTACTGTGTGTTTTTATGCTTACTGTGTGCTTTTTTGCTTACTGTGTATTTTTACCCATTTCTGTTATTATCTTAACTTTTAGATCTTATCAAAATAATTACAATTATTGTAATATAATTACGATAATTGTAATTATATATAATTGTAATTATAAATAAATTATCGCATTTTTAAGTGTCTAAAAAAAATAGAATAAGTAATGTCACAAAAGAATTTAATGAATAGTGTCAAGAACAGATTAAGAGATGTTGCAAAATAAGTTAAACTAAAAGTGTATAAAATAAAATTTAGGTATCAAGTTGCAAATGAATTTGATGAATAGTGTCAAAAACAGAATAAGGAATGTTGCAAATCAGTTTTAAAAAAAGTGTTTGAAGCAGAATAAACAAATAGTGTCACAGATAAATTTAAGGTGATTCAACTAGAACATGGTGAGAGTGTACATAAGTTAACTGGCTGAATGGCTAGAATATGCAGTAAGTGTTCACACATCAACTGACTTGTATAGGTAGAACATGCAAGTAGTGTTGCTACATCTACTGAGGGTTTTAGTTTGGACGGGCAGTTTATCAATTAAAATATATATATATATATTTACATGTACTAACTTTAATATATAATTGCTCTTTAAAAAGAAGTATAATTGTGACATTATTCCGGTTTTTATTTTTTAACAATCATAATATTTCTGATAAAAACAGTAATAAATTTGAAACATTTCTTTTTTTACTATTTGTGACATTCATTTTTTAGGTGACATAAAACAATTTTAATATATTTGACACTATTTCGAAGTTTATTTTTCCACATTTTTCCTGTCACCCTTTAGAAAATTATTTTTTTGTATACATAATATTTCAATATGGTATTTTAATAAATTGTTTTATTACAGCTTATATTTTCACTTGGTATAAATCAGCAAAAAATATTTAAATACCTACTAATGACAGTTAGTTCAATCAAAAAAAACAGCCATTTCATTTTTAAAACTTTAATGGGTTTTAAAGAAGATTAACATTAAATTTTAAGTCATAAGATAAACAACACAAATAAATTTGTATTGTTTATCTTATGACTTAAAATTTAATTATGTTTGTATTATGGGATACCTGGTGATGTGGGCTATCGGTGATGTGGGATACCTGGTGATGGTAGTAATGTTGTTATGTCAGAAAAAGTATTAAAAACTTTAAGTAAATGATATATTACATTATTTTTTCTAATTTTCCAGTTTATCTTTCTTTCCTTTAAATCATAGATCCGGTTTACTGGTGTTGACTGGTGCAGTTCCTGCTTTAAAAGGGACTGGAGGTAATAATTTGAATCATGTTATTCACATATAAAGTCTGTTAATCTGTTATTTAAATTTTGTGTTTGAATATATATATATATATATATATATATATATATATATATATATATATATATATATATATATATATATATATATATATATATATACGTACATACATATATTTATATATATTGTAAATTACTTTCTTTTTTTTTTGTTTAATCATGGTTAGGAATGATTGGATATGGTATGGCAAAAGCTGCTGTTCACCAACTTACTAAAAGTTTAGCAGCTGATGGGGGTCTTCCTGATAAATCTCAAGTTGTAGCAATCTTACCGTACGTTTTAACTAAATATAGAACATTGTAGTTATAAATGATTATAAATATAAATTGTCTTTATTTCAATCTATATTTATAATCATCTATAAAAAATATAGTAAAATGTAATAAAAATATAGATCATTAATATAGGTTTGAATAGAAAATCTTTTAATAAACATAATTAAATTTAAAACTTTGATTTTTTAATGTTTTTAGTTGTTTATTAGAATAGACTTGTTCTGATATTATTGGTGTTAATTGCAATTTTTTAAATGTTCGTTGCAATTAGTTTTTATGGTAGCTATAATGAATTTCTATACTATTAAGTATTTGTTGCTATGACAACTATTTGTGTCTAGTAAATATAGTGCTATCTTCATATAATTTTTAATATTTATTTTCAGAATTACACTAGATACGCCTATGAATCGAAAGTATATGCCTGATGCTGATGTAACTTCTTGGACTCCGTTAGAGTTTGTTACTGAGTATGTTCTATCTTTTAATCTCTTTTTTTATCATTTTTTATTAATTTATGAAGCTTATTAATAGTATGTTTTTAGCTTGTTTATCGATTGGTTAAATGGCGTTAATTGTCCAGGTTCAGGAAGCCTAGTGAAACTTTGTACTATTGGTGGCAAAACTGAAACCAAACTGGCTGAATAATGATCTCCTAAAATATTCTCAAGTCTCTTGAATTCTGTAAAACACATTTGATATTAAGAAAATGAGTCTTAAGGGTTTGTAAACCTTATATTTGTAAGAAAATCTTTTTTATATATATTTATGTTAATTTTTTTACCAGAAAAATTCTCTTGTATATCAGTTGGTTGGTTTTTTTTATAACGTGTGACAATTAAAAAACGAGACTGGATTTAAAGACATATCTCTTTAAAGAAATAAGATAAAATAAAAAAGAAAAATGTTCTAGAAAGTATTTTTATTCTAGTTTTTATAATCAGTTGTTCTTAATTAAACCATTTCTTTTGACTTTATCAACTAGGCCTGGTATAGACTGAGCTAGCCTCCGTATGAGCTCAATATCAATTTTATTAAGGCAATACTTGATTTTAGAACGTTATTTTTTAAGATTTTCTGCATGCTAATTATTCTTGTAAACAAGGCCTTTCAAAATACTCCAAAAATTTTCGATAGGGCGATATTCTGGCAAGTTTGCAGGGTTATCCGCTTTTTCAACATAATGCACGTTTTCCTTGTTTAGGTACATGATTACTGTTTTTGCATAGTGAGATGATGCTAAATCTGGCCATTATACACCATCTGAATGATAGTTATTGATGAATGGAATAAGTCTCTTCTTAATACATTTGTTTAAATAGATTTTTTGATTTACAACCAATCCACTTGGTACAAAATAAAGTTGAGAAATTTCATTTTCAGAAAAAGCAATTCATAGAAGTAATTACTTTTGAAGCTTTTGTTTTGTTTGGTATTTAACTGTATATGGAGTAGATTTTATATCACTTTTATAAAATATATCATTTCCATTGATACTGGAGTGGTTTAACGTGAAATAAGACTCATCGTCAATGATTGGTTTACGATTTTTGAATTTCTGACACAATCGACTGCATTTAGTTCTAGCTACTGCTTTTTGCTGGTCAGAGCGTTTTGGAATCGTCATTTTTTTTCTTGATTTAATATTTGTTCTTTGTTTTAATGTTTTACTAATGATTTGCTGAGTACAGTTGAACCTTTTAGCTGCCTGCCGTTGAGAAACTCTGTCTATGTGGTCAAACATGAGTTAAAGCCTTTCAATGTTTGTCCTGGTCATTTTTTTAGCTTTAACTCCACTTCCTTGAACTCTTTGGTACCCAGATTCACTTTCAGCACGTTTAATTATCTTGTAGACAGTACTTTTAGATATATTCTCAACTTTTAAGTGGTCATAAGTGAATTTTTTACCAGCATTTTTAGAATTTAAATAAAATTCATACACACGTTTTCTAATCTCTTGTTTTAAATTTATTTTTTTATTCATTTTTCTATAAAAAAAAACAACAACAATATTTTAAATCTAGAATAAAAATACCTTCTGAAACAGTTTTCCTATTTTTGAAATCTTATTCCTTTAAGGAGATATGTGTCTTTAAATCCAGTCTCGTTTTTTAGTTGTCACCTGTTATGATGCTACAAAATACTTTTATTATTAATCCCGAAAACAAGAAGTACTCATTTAAAACTGTGTTTAGAATTTTTTAATCTATAATTTTAATCATAGAAAAAAAAATTTATTAAAATATTACTGAGGTTACACGTTCTCTTAGTCATTGCCTCCTCAGTTTTCTAATATAAAATAAAGTAAAAAAAGATAAATTAAATTAACTTTTAAAAAATTTCAAGGTTCTTAATCATCTGGCTGAAAGACCAGAAACCAGATTCTTAAGACATAAAGCTCGTGAATTAGCACAGTTCTACGCTAATGATGTCAAAGAAGACAATTTCATACAAGAAATTTTGCATCTTAATTGTTTGAAAGAGGACAGTTGTTAAACAGTATACAGCATAAATCGGGTGTGATATGCCCAGGGCCGCCTAGAGGAAGAGCAAAGGGAGCATACGTGCCCTGGGCGCCAAGATAATTGGGGCGCCAAAAAGTAATAAATTTTTTTTTTTTAAGTGTCTATACACTGTTTAACTTTTAATTTCCATGTTTTGTGATTTTATATGATGTTTTTATAGTATAATTTCATTAAATAAATACGAAGTTTAATTAATTTAGAATGGCGGCTCTCGTGCTTACGGATTATTGTGTTTAGTGCAGTGAGTTTTCTTTTAGAGAGAACTTTTTTTGTATAAATGCATAATATGAAAGTGATGACGTGTTACATTTGGCATATAATCTCACGAAAGAATTCAAGTGCATTTTTTTTTTTTTAATTTGTTATTTTTATTTCGATGTCACTATATGCAATCGCAACTCAAACGGCAAATCAGCTTATTTGGTGAAAGGTGAAAAGGGGAAGAAGAAATAAAAAAAAAAAGAATAAATTAAAGAATTATTTTAAAGATAAAAAACTTAAAAAAAGTAAAAGTAAAACAAGGTTGAAAGATATGAATAAGTAAATGCTAAATCAAGCTAAGTCCTTGATAAAGTTTCTTAAATCCTTTGAGACTGTTGTTCTTCTGACCTTTTAGTATAACGTTCTTCAAGTAGTAGATGAAGTGAGCCGTTTGTTTCATTCAACTTCACTAACAATAGATGACGAAGTTATTATAATTCAACTGCTAATAAGCGATATTGGCTGCATCCGCTCATCATGGAATAATATTTTGACTGAAGCGAAAGCTGTTGCAGGTCCTCTAGGCTTTTGACATAGTAAAGAGCGTTTTTTTCAAGGTTCTTAATCATCTGGCTGAAAGACCAGAAACCAGATTCTTAAGACATAAAGCTCGTGAATTAGCACAGTTCTACGCTAATGATGTCAAAGAAGACAATTTCATACAAGAAATTTTGCATCTTAATTGTTTGAAGGAGTCTTTGTTTTTTATTTCTTGAAACTCATTGAGCCTTTTTAACCAAATACATTCAAAGAGTCTGCAGCCTATTTTTCCATAATTATTCATCTTAATTCGAATTTTTAATACAATGCTAGTATCTGTTGCAGAAGTAGAACAATCCTTCAGTAAAGTAAAATTGATAAAGAATTATTGTAGGACCGCTATGGGACAAGAACGCCTTTCGTATCTCATAATGTTTTCAGTAGAAAATGAATTGCCTAACACTCTGTCATATGATGATACAATGATAAATTTTGCCGGTAAAAAATCAAGAAAAGAGTGTTTCATATAGGCCTTTTTTTATTTTAATTTCTAAAGAATCTCTAATAATGCATTATATGTTGTATTTGTGTTGCTTAGTTTTATTTTTTAAAGGCGCATTTTTTAAAAAAATTTCCGTAAAATGATTTTAACAAAAATAAACCACAATTAAGAAAATTGATTTTAAAATCGTGTAGAGTCATATATATTCATGATTGAATTCGATAAATATTTTTTGTATGCTTGAAATTTTTTTGTAAATCATGTATGCTTAAAGGGACGCCTACTCAACGCTATACCACGGTAGTACCAAAGTACTACTTAGGCACTGATACTATTGAATTATAACTATAATGCACAACATCTCCAGATCATAGCGATTTAACGCTCTACCCAGCTAAGTCATCCCACTGAAGTATTAATTAAATTATTAACTTCAAAATTATTCAACATTAGCTCTAATGTTGAATAATTTAGCAGTTAATTTAATCAGTATATGGAAATTACTTTCGACTCTGTTTTTCGAAAAATGTTTTTTTAATTTACAGTTTTTAAAAAAGTTTTTTACAAAAGGAATAAATAGTTATCATTAAAAGTACCTGGTTATATTATCCATAAATAGTATAAAATTTTTTAGTTTAATTAGAAAAAAATCAGAAAGAAAAAAAAAAAAAGTAAAAGTACTTATATATCAATAAACATATCTTAACCTATCTTTTAAAAAATATGTTTACGGTGTTGCTACGCCAGCAGCATGTCCATGTCAGCATAAGAAAGTTATTATATATATAGGATATTTATAAGATATTATAATAAAGCATAAGAAAGTTATTGTATATATAAGTTATTATAAATAAGATGTTATTGTCAGCATTTTTGCTGACAATAACATCTTATTTTTATTAGACAAAGACATAAAAAACCTTTTTCTACCTGATTCAAACGCAATAAATTAACCTTAAATATTGACAAAACCAACTGGATTCTTTTCTATTCCTCAACATAAAAAAAACGCTTTTTTTTTTGTTATTTAGGTGCCCCAAGAAGACCTAACTGTCTTGTCACAGACCACCGCGGAAGTGCATTTTAACTTGGAAGTTTGCGCCTCCTTCTTTACCGTGAAGCGAAAATATATTCAGTGCTCTTTTCAAACCTGGATCTCCTGCTTCAAACCTGGATCTCCGTGACGCAGTGGTTAGAGCAAGCGCTCTAACCACTGCGTCACGGCCGTACTTAGAGCGACCGCACACACGGCCGCACATAAAGGTGATTTAAAAAATACAAAGCAACTTTAACTTAAAGTTAAAAATCTTTAAGTATGCTCATTTAACCAAAGTGCTCATATTTCCCTAACCTACCCTAAAACATTATGAATTTCTGAAAGATTGTTAAAAACTTTGACGTGTTTTTTTTTTTTTTTTTTTTTTTTTGTATAAAGTCAGGTTTTTGATAAAACATCAAAAGAGTGTGTACAATGTTTATGCTTCTATCATAAGTTTACGTTTGTCCTTATTATATCTCTGTAATAATCAATTTAATAACCAACTTTTAGTACAAACAACCAATTTAATATAATTTAGTACCAATTAAGTACAAATGACCAATGCTGTACAAATGTAATACAAAACTGTAAAAATAACGAATGTACATCATAATCACAGACCATGATATTTGATCATACCAATATGTTGTAAGTGATCAGTTAATTATGTAAATGGATATTTAAACGAATACAATTTAAATGAATATTTCAATGCTGTTGTTTGTGTGTTTCAGATTTAAATTAGAAAATTAGCTAAATGTTATTTGTAAACTTTGTGAAGTAACGCTTGACAAGTAGTTTAATTGTAAAGTGAAAAATATGCCGTTTGGTGTGCCAACTTGGCTTGAGTCTTTAAATCATGTGATAGGCTGCTATTTTTGCATGACAAATGTTTTTGGACTCAATAATACGCGCTAGCACAAGATTTAATATCTTAATATAACATGAGCCTTAAGACCTGTATGACACTGTGAACACATTCATGTGCCTACTATTTCTA